GACTTAACATGTGAAACAAGCTTGTTCCCTAACTAGAACTAAAAAAAAAAAAAAAAAGAATGTTAGTTAATGGCAAGCCATCATGAGTAGCTACCTACAGGACTTTCACAAAATTTCACCTAAGCAGCTGATGTGTCCCTAGAATAGGGCAAGACATGAATAAATAGAATTCCTTTGCCTCTTTGGGAATCCCCACCATACCGAGACTTGCATGTTCCATAAAGCTAATTTCCTTATGAAATGACAGCTTCACATTTTTACATTAATCACATGTTTTCAGGCTTCAGAGTGGTATTATGTGTACATGAAATAGAAGGATGAAATCAACGTAATTGACACATCCACAAACTGAAATACTTTTCATTTTGGTAGTGAGAACATAAATATTTGACCCTAGTATTGAAATGCACATTATATTATGAAAATATTGTTAAGTAGCTTTCAAAAATGTATTCATCCCCTAACTGAAACTCTGTGCTTTGACCAACAGCTTCCAATTCTAATCTGTGCAGTTCCATGAGCCGACTCCTCTCTACTTCAAGTTCTCTCATTTTAGATTTGAAACACAGTGAGATCATGCATTAGTTTTCTTTTTAAAATGTTTTCCATGCATTAGTTTTCTACTGTATCATGATATTTGGCTTAAGAATGTGTCTCAGTTTCATCTGTATCATTGCAAATGATGGAATTTCTTCATAGTTTTAATGTCTGGATAAAGGACTGGAGAGATGGCTCAGGGGTTTACAGCACTTGTTGCTCTAGCAGAGGACTCAGGGTCAGTTCCCAGCATCCACATGATGTCTCACAATCTTCCTAATTCCAGGGCATCCATTGTCCTATTCTGAACTCCATGGGCAACACACACACACACACACACACACACACACACACACACTTAGGGCAAGGCCAGCCAGTCTCACCTCCCAGAGATGATCTCACACAGCTCTAACCATCTCATGATCTAAGCTCAAATCATCAGCTCACTCCAGTCATATCTACCTTTTCAAAGGCTAGATTCCCGTGTGTCTCACTCCTGGATCTAGTCCTCTAAATAATCATTCCAGAACTAATCAAGGTCCTTGTTTATTATAGAAAATCCTAGGTAACATTGTAGAAAACACCACTGCAGACCTCAGCAGGGAGGCCAGTGCTGATCCTATCTTCCTGTGCATCAATTCAACCCTGAAGCTCTTGCTTAGAGATGAAAGCCAATACCTAATAAACAGGTAACCTATACATGTCATTGTATTGGTTATTATGCTTAACTATGTATGACTCTAAGACATGATCATTGGCCACAGGACAAACACTTTCTTTTGGGATTTCTTTTTTCTTTTTTCTTTTTTCTTTTTTTTTCGAGACAGGAGTTCTCTGTGTAGCTTTGGAGCCTATCCTGGCACTTGCTCTGGAGACCAGGCTGGCCTTGAACTCACTGGCCTCTGCTTCCCGAGTGCTGGGATTAAAGGCGTGCACCACCAACACACTGCTCTTTTTTTTTCAACTTTTAAAAATTTGAATTAGAAACAGGATTGTTTTACGTGACAATTCTAGTTCCCTCTCCCTCCCTTCTTCCCCTACGACCCCAACTAAAACCCTATCTATCACCTATCCTTTCTGCTCCCCATGGATGGTGAGGCCTTCCATAGGGTGTCATCAGAGTCTATTGTATCCTTTGGGATAGGGCCTAGGTCCACCCCGTGTGTCTTGGCTCAGGGAGTATTCCTCTATATGGAATGGGCTCCCAAAGTCCACACCTATGCTAGGGATAAGTACTGAACTTCTACAGGAGGTCCCATAGATTTCTTAGGTTTCCTCACAGAAACCCATGTTCCTGGGTTCTGGATCAGTCCCATGCTGGTATTCCAGTTATCAGTCTGGGAAGCAAGAGTTCCCCGATGTTCAGTTCAGCTGTTTCTGTGGGTTTCACCAGCCTGGTCTGGACCCCTGTGCTCTTTATTCGTCCTTCTCTGAATCTGGGTTTCAGTTCAGTTCAGTGATTAGTTGTGGGTGTCTGCTTCTACTTCCACCAGCTGCTGGAGGAAGTCTATAGGATGGCATATAAGTTAGTCAGCAATCTCATTATCAGGGTAGGGTATTTAAGGTAGCCTCTCCTCTTAGCTTGTTAGCTTAGATTGCTTAGGTTGTTTAGATTGTTAGCTGATGTCATCTTTGTAGATCTTCAGACATTTCCCTAGTGCCTGAT